TTTACATATAATGGGCATTCGGTACAGTTTACAGTTTACAACATTATTTCTCGACGTTAGAAATGCCCTCGATGAAGTGCCATATATCAGACTCATGACAAAACTCCAATCCTACGGAATAACCGAGAAACTTCTCAAATGTATAAATTCTTTTCTCACAGAAAGAGAGCAATTAGTCAAAATCAACCACCAGCTGTCTTCATCAAAGCCGATAAGTAGTGGTGTAATTCAGAGTAGCGTTCTTGGCCCTATTCTACTCCTCTTATTTATAAATGACACAGTCTCTGTGATCAAGTATGGCAAGCCATACCTCTTTGCAGATGATCTCAAGATAGTGTATGATTACGGGTACGATGATATGAGCGTCGAAAGCAAAATCCAACATGACTTAAACAATCTAGGCGATTGTAGCGAAAAGTGGCAACTGACTTTCAACCCAGACAAGTGCCGTATAGCCCACCTTGGACGCTGGAAACCGAGAATGTGCCTATGTATGTACGGTAAGCTCCTCTCGAAACTGAACACTGTCACAGATCTTGGGATAACATACTCAGATCTAACCTTTTCCGATCATGCAAATAAGGTTGTATCTGACTGTGAAGGACTTATTGGCTTTGTGCTGCGTAACTTCTACACTCAAGAAGCTAAATTAGCTATATATAGAACATGTATCCGCCCCAAACTTGAATATTGTGCTCTCCTGTATAGTAACCTAAGGTCTGCAGACCGAAAAAATCGAAAGTGTTCAGAGATTCCTAACGAAACGCATAATAGGGTTTGACCAACCAGTGGAATATGTTGACAGGTGTATGCGTTTGAATTTAAAACCTCTGTGGTTAAGGAGAGTGAAGTACAACTTATTTCTACTATTCAGAGTCATTAGGAAACATTGTTATAGTAACTCATCCACAACGCCGGGAAATATTAAATAATATCAGCTGCGAAACCACGACTACCTTGTCAAGGTGGCTGCCCACAGAAAATCCATTAGGGTAAACTTTTCCACCATTAAATATTGCACACTTTGGAACCAACTACTATCTGATATTATATGTGAAAACCCCGATGGGTTCAAACGGAGCCCAGAGAGACACATTACCATGTCCACTCTAGCTTGTCTAAAAGACCAAAACTGTTGGTAGAATGGTATATGAAGGCCGGTCCAGTCATCAGCTTAGTCAGTTACATATCACCGTCCTGAAGCAGTGTTCAGAAAGTCTCTGCCAACCCCTAAGTGATCTGTTTCAACACTCCTTTGATGTAGGGAAACTTCCATGCAAATGGAAACGAGCCATCCTATCCCATATCTTCAAGGGTGGTGACCGGCAGAATGCGACCAGTTACAGACCAGTTGCGCTTCTTCCAGTGATATCGAAGATATTAGAAAGTCTCACTGACGACCACATGAGAAAATGCTTCGACGGGACTAACCAACTCCATGAATTGCAGCACGGTTTCAGGAGTAGGAGATCGCGTGTGACGAATCTTCTACTAGCTTGGAACAATTGAACACTATCCTGGGACGTAAAGATACCAGTCCACGTGATCTTTCTCGACTTTGCAAAAGCATTCGACACAGTTCACCATGATCTGCTCCCTCTCAAAATAAGCAAGGAGGGTGTTTCTGCAGCACTTCTCGCATGGCTGAAAGATTACTTAGGCGAGAGAGAATTCTGCACCAAAGTCAACCGCATCCGATCATTCTGGCACACCTCGGCATAAGGGGTTCCTCAGGGTTCTATCTTAGGGCCGTCGATGTTTTTGATTTATATCAACGACCTGCCCTTTCAACTGAACTGCTCTGCGCTTCTTCACGCTGACAACGTACAGATTTGGAGAGCAATAAACTCATTGGAAGACTCAGACAGATTGCAGGCTGACCTGCAAACTCTGGGAGACTGGGCTCTGGCTAACAGAATGCCTTTCAACCTAAAGAAGTGCAAAGTAGTGCAACTTCATTCCGGCTGGTCACAGGGTGTAAATTACACCCTTGGTGGCCAGAACTTGAGTTGTGTGCCATCAGAGCGCGATCTAGGTCTTATTCTAACAGAAAAGCTAGACACCAGTGGAAATTACACGAGGGACGTCGCCAAAGCCCACGCAAATTTACACTTTATGCATAGCCAGCTGGGAGCTTCCTGGAGGTAACCTGCTAATGATAGCACACTAGGGACCAAAGACTCGAGTGCGTTCACATTTCTTTTCGCTTCGAGTTTGCTGTCTCTAGAACGCTTTACCGGCGGCCGTGACTACAGCGCCATCTGTGGAGACTTTTAAGCGGAAGCTGGACAATCATGCAGAAATGCAAGGTTGTGTCTCAATGGCTTATCCTCTTAAAATTTGAAACCACACTGTCAATGGATAAGCATACCAACTAAATCCCCACGACCCGTTCTGTCTTCTCTCACTGTACCGACTACTGTATCTTTTCCTTAGGTCACCTTTATTATTTCACTTATCTCAACCTATATTATCTACACTACAACCTATTATTATCACTATTATTACTATTCTGCTTTTATGACTACACTGAGTGACTAAGGGGAGTTAAGCCAAACTCCATTCACGACAGCAACACAGTCCTAACATACTGCATACTACAAACCACATTTTGACCAATCCCCGAACCACTCCTCTTGGAGTTTTAGAGTTTGATGGTATCGACGTTCGCGAGTTGTACGGATTATACTAACGCAAGATCTTATACCAACAACTTCTATAGTGTTCGTTCTTCGAGTACCAAATGGTAAGGCAAAAGACCAGATTTTGTCGTCCAAATACGATATATATTTCGGGACAAAATCACGGGTAGAGGTGAATGCTTAGCTAGCTAGCAATCGTGCACGCACGTGACACGACGGAGCACCAAATGGCGGGGATGCTTGACCGTAAGCCTTCAGCTAAACAAGTCGACTTAAACAGTGATGGTCAGCATCCAATGTTGAGTGATGATTGCTGTGGTTAATAATTTTGGGGAATTATTTACCGCTACAGAGTCTACCAGAAATAAAGCAGTCGAGTAGCGGGACTTACTATGCAGAAGTTCACCAAAGATCTGGAACCTCTACCTTACAATCAAGAAGCGAGCTCAAAGAAATCACTGGTTTATACTAGCTCGTAATCAGGATATTGGATATTGGACATTAGAGAGCGTGTATTGAATTTTGAGTGACCATGAGTAGCTTGGATTTGAAACCAAAATATGAAATAGGTAAGATGCTTACTGTTTTCTTATATGGAATCACGTGCATTAAGGTGAAAAATTACTTTGTTTCCATGGGCCTCTTATGTATGAGACAAAATGTCTAGACGTCAAAGTGAAAGAAGATGGTGTAATGTATTTTGTGCATTACCAAGGTTGGAATAAAAAGTAATAATATTTCAGTATTGATTTACGTTTTGATATAGCTGGGATGAATGGGTGACGGAGAAACGTATGTTCAAGTATAATGAAGAGGGTTTGAGAAAACAAAAAGAATTAGAGCGACAAATGTAACTTGTGTAAAGCAATGTTTCTGATCATGATGCTTCTTGTAATTATCAGAAAATCGGGGAAGGTTAAAGTTTTGAGGAAGTCCGACTTAAAGTCACAGTCATTGCCACCTCCAGAAGTCCTGGAGGACGTGGAACGGACATTTAAGCCTGGTCAAGTGAAACAAGGTGAGATATCACCCGGTTATATACTAAGTGGCGCTGTAGAGGAAGATGCTCCTAAGGCCAAGAGCATAAAGACCAACAAAGAAACCAACGGGAAAACTGATACTCGTGTACCTGCTGATTTGAAAGAGACTGAAGATATTAAACCAGCCATTAAGTGTTGTGAAGATGCAAACACACCGTCTACTCAACCTGTCACAGTATCAAGTAGGTAAGGAGTTGCAATTGTTGACCATTCTGTGAGAGGATCTAAATTGAATTGTAGATGTATTTCTATTCGACCTAGGTCTGAGCACCTTTTTGTGGTGAAGATTGCGATTTCCTAAATAATCCTTTAATGTACGGTATGCCGAAATTAAGTCGTCTCTCCTCCCCTTTCGGTATGATAATGGAAAGAGATTTAAATGCTCCATCCTCATGTCATAAGGAAGGTTTGAGGTACAACTTATTTAGTTCCTACCCTCTGTACTCTTTCTAGGATTTGTCCCCTTTTTGAAGCATGAAATCACCACTTGTGTGCGGTATTCCAGTCGAGGCCTGCTGACATACGTTGCATAGAGTACTTAGAACAAAGACTCGTCTAATCGTTTGAAAGCCCTTCAAAGTACTCATAGCATTCTAGTGTTAGCTGCAGCTCGATTACAATTTTCGGTTGTTTTTGCGTTATGGTTTACAAAAATTCCTAAGTTGTTTTGTCCCTTTACATCTAGCAGTTCTGTACGGACTTGTGGACACAGTGTTAAAATACGTTTCGAATGAGCTAGATAACACAAATATCGACTTAAAATTGTCATTTGACACAACGCTGCTACTTTATTATCTCCTCCAAAGAGGAAATTTTTATATCTCACAAAATGAATCACAATACCAAAGTACAAACTATCTCGGAAAAACAAATTTAAATCGCATAGAATGAAAAATTGTGTCACAATAAATACGAAATACTTGCATTTTTAAGAGACTTCAGCACTGATGACACTCGGCCTTTCCTTCTCCTACTTGATACTGTGACAGGTTGAGTAGATGGTGTGTATGAATCTTCACAACACTCAATGGCTGGTTTAATATCTTCAGTCTCTTCTACACACGAGTATCAGTTTTCCCGTTGGTTTCTTCGTTGGTCTTTATACCCTTGGTCTTAGGAGCACTTGGTATATAACCGGGTAATGTCTCACCTTGTTTCACTTGACCAGGCTTCAATGTCCGTTCCACGTCCTCCAGGACTTCTGAAGGTGGCAATGACTGTGACTTTAAGTCGGACTTCCTCAAAACTTTAACCTTCCCCGATTTTCTGATAATTACAAGAAGCATCATGATCAGAAACATTGCTTTACACAAGTTACATTTGTCGCTCTAATTCTTTTTGTTTTCTCAAACCCTCTTCATTATACTTGAACATACGTTTCTCCGTCACCCATTCATCCCAGCTATATCAAAACGTAAATCAATACTGAAATATTATTACTTTTTATTCCAACCTTGGTAATGCACAAAATACATTACACCATCTTCTTTCACTTTGACGTCTAGACATTTTGTCTCATACATAAGAGGCCCATGGAAACAAAGTAATTTTTCACCTTAATGCACGTGATTCCATATAAGAAAACAGTAAGCATCTTACCTATTTCATATTTTGGTTTCAAATCCAAGCTACTCATGGTCACTCAAAATTCAATACACGCTCTCTAATGTCCAATATCCAATATCCTGATTACGAGCTAGTATAAACCAGTGATTTCTTTGAGCTCGCCTCTTGATTGTAAGGTAGAGGTTCCAGATCTTTGGTGAACTCCTGCATAGTAAGTCCCGCCATTCGACTGCTTTATTTCTGGTAGACTTCAAGAGGAGTGGTTCGGGGATTGGTCAAAATGTGGTTTGTAGGACTGTGTTGCTGTTGTGAATGGAGTTTGACCTAACTACCGTTGGTCACTCGGTGTAGTCATAAAATCAGAATAGAAATAATAATATGTTGTAGTGTAGGTAATATAGGTTGAGATAAGTGAAAAATAAAGGTGAAATAATAAAGGTGACCTAAGGAAAAGATACAGTAGTCGGTACAGTGAGAGAAGACAGAACGGGTCGTGGGGATTTAGTTGGTATGCTTATCCATTGACAGTGTGGTTTTAAATTTCAAGAGGATAAGCCATTGAGACACAACCTTGCATTTCTGCATGATTGTCCAGCTTCCGCTTAAAAGTCTCCACAGATGGCGCTGTAGTCACGGCCGCCGGTAAAGCGTTCTAGAGACAGCAAACTCGAAGCGAATAGAAGTGTGAACGCACTCGAGTCTTTGGTCTCTGGTGTGCTATCATTAGCGGGTTGACTCATGGAAGCCTATATTCACTTAATGGCAGGATGCTTTTATTTGGGTGGGCCTGGTCATTTAAGATCTTGTAGACAGTGATGAGGTCTCCCCTGTGACTACGGTAACTAAGTGTGAAAAGTCTTAATTTCTTCAGCCTTTCCTCGTATGATTTGTTGCGGAGACCGATCACCTATTTTGTCGCTCGTCTCTGGACACTTTGTAGAATGTTAGCATCCCTTTTGAGTAGCGGAGGAGTAATGATAATATGCACCTCAAGGTGTGGCCTCACGTATGTCTTATACAACCTTAAGAATAGTTCGGGAGTAAGAGCTCCCAGCTGCCTGTGTATAAAGTGCAAAGTTGCGTGGGCTTTGGCGACGTCCCTCGTGTATTTAAACTGGTGTCTAGCTTTTCTGTTAAAATAAAACCTTGGGTAGCGTTCTGATGGCACACAACTCAAGTTCTGGCCATCAAGGGTGTAATTTACACCCTGTGACCTGCTGGAATGAAGTTGCACTACTTTGCACTTCTTTAGGTTGAAAGGCATTCTGTTAGCCAGAGCCCAGTCTCCCAGAGTTTGCAGGTCAGCCTGCAATCTGTCTGAGTCTTCCAATGAGTTTATTGCTCTCCAAATCTGTACGTTGTCAGCGTGAAGAAGCGCAGAGCAGTTCAGTTGAAAGGGCAGGTCGTTGATATAAATCAAAAACATCGACGGCCCTAAGATAGAACCCTGAGGAACCCCTTATGCCGAGGTGTGCCAGAATGATCGGATGCGGTTGACTTTGGTGCAGAATTCTCTCTCGCCTAAGTAATCTTTCAGCCATGCGAGAAGTGCTGCAGAAACACCCTCCTTGCTTATTTTGAGAGGGAGCAGATCATGGTGAACTGTGTCGAATGCTTTTGCAAAGTCGAGAAAGATCACGTGGACTGGTATCTTTACGTCCCAGGATAGTGTTCAATTGTTCCAAGCTAGTAGAAGATTCGTCACACGCGATCTCCTACTCCTGAAACCGTGCTGCAATTCATGGAGTTGGTTAGTCCCGTCGAAGCATTTTCTCATGTGGTCGTCAGTGAGACTTTCTAATATCTTCGATATCACTGGAAGAAGCGCAACTGGTCTGTAACTGGTCGCATTCTGCCGGTCACCACCCTTGAAGATATGGGATAGGATGGCTCGTTTCCATTTGCATGGAAGTTTCCCTACATCAAAGGAGTGTTGAAACAGATCACTTAGGGGTTGGCAGAGACTTTCTGAACACTGCTTCGGGACGCATGGTCTGATGTCATCGCAACCTGAAGACTTTCGCGAAGTCAACCTTCCCAATTTTACGAGTACCATAGCTGGGGTAATTTGAAATGTACCCAGCAGATTTTCGCGCGTTGGTTTTGCATTGTAATCCTGATGTTTTTTGGGGGTAAAATCCTCGTTACTGTTTAGTTGCCTGTGAAAGGCTAGATTGTATGTCTCTTCCATTTCACGACTATTAAGAGATTTCCCATCAGAACCTACTAGATTGCATGCTCCCTGGTTGGTCGGTTTTCTTTCAGACATAAACCTGTATAGGCTTTTGGGGTTCACGAGAAGCTTATTGTCGAGGTTTCTCTGAAATTTCCTTCTATCGATTCCTGAGTTCAAGGTACACTTCATGTCCGGGTTGACTCTTCGATAGTCGCCACGCAAACCAGGCTTTTCGCTTCGCCTGCAGAAGGCGTTGTGTCCCCTTTTTTCAGCCATGAACGTTGCTTCCTAGGTTTTGGTGTGACTAAAGGAACAGTGTCTGAGACCGCCTGGTGAATGTTCTCCTTTACCACACCCAGTGTTCTTCTGTTAGCTCTGTCCATTTTTTAGGCCAATTTGCTTCAGACAAAAGTCTTCGCATTTTGGTGTAATTGGCTTTGTTATAACACAGATAGGGCTGTGTATTGTCCCACTGTAAGCGCCCGCGGAGGACTATGTCGAATACTATGACCACGTGGTCACTACTACCTATGGGAGTCGTGATCTGAACGTTTTCCACTAGTAGCTGTTCACTAGTGAGCACATAATGCAGTCTAGAAGACTTCCCATCTGGGCCTCATCTGGTATCCATCCTGACATTTTCAGTGAATCCAGCCTTCCTGATGGTATGCAGCAGATTTCGATCGAATCTATCATAGGCGTATCCCGACATCAAGTTAAGAGATGGGGCATTGAACTCGCCAGTTGTGACAGTTTGATCATAACCCGTGTCTTGTGTCGCTGAAATTGTATTTAGCAGTACCTGGTTGTGGTCTGCTCCACATGATGGTGACTGATAAATGCTGCCCACTAGATATTTGCAGTACCCAACGGTGAAATGGCACCATATGGATTCAGGGAACTCAGTGAGAGGAGGGTCCATTGCGTGTACACGTCTGAGCTGTTAGTCGACGTATATGGCAACTCCACCTCCTTCTTTCAGGTCCTTATCTCGCCTGATTAGGACCATATCATTTATATTGACTTCGCTGCCTGCCACCGTAGGGGTTAGCCAGGTTTCTGTCAGTATTATGATTTTGGAATTTAGCTGTGATTGTAGTTGTCTAAGTTCAGTTATTTTGCCTCTTAGCCCTCTCACATTACTGTACAGGCAACTGGTAGTCAGTCTCATCATGTCCTCGTATTGGGGGGGTGGTTGACTTGATATGGGCTGCCGGTTGAGGAGTTATCCTACGAACAATTGGCCGATTCCCCAGGAACCGCCCTGTTCGTGCTTTTTCCTTCAAGTTCAATCGGAGCACTTGGATGACACTGGCTATCATCGTCCGTGCTGCACCGCTGTAGTGTGACTAAGGGTTGAGGATTTTCTGTGACAACAATAAACAATGTATTCATATATAATTTCCGATCTCTTTCCCCCCACTCGATGATTTAGAGGGTTTCTAAACTTGAAAGAATAATTAAGTTGAATGTGTCCAAACCAAGTTCACTTTTAACGGTTTGAAAAAATTTGAGAACTGGGTATATGACATTCATTCTAATAATTCTAATAAAGGTTTTTGTATTTCCCAACGAATGAGAAACAAAACGATATTGTTTTTACTGACGTTTCGCTATTTAACGCTATAGAATCAGGCCACAAAATTGATTTTGACAATATTGAAATCGTCATCCAGAAAAAGCATTTCAGAAATCACAAAGAACGTCTAATATCAGAAGCACTTCATATCATCAAGTGGAATCCAAATTGTCTGAACTGAATAGAAATGGCGGGCTAAAACAGAATCTGACCTGGTTACAATACATCCCTCCCCATGAATTGACAAAATCAACACGAATGTGATAAGCAAGTTCAATATATAAATTATATATATATTTCCTATCTATGTAGGACACACCAATTGCACAGGCATGGATAAGTATTATTTACATTACATGAATTTGATTTATAGTGGAATTACATGGTTGTTGTCCTCTCTGACATCAACTTAATAGACCGAATGGTAAGACACCGCAAGCAACTAAAATAGATAAACACACTGCCAACACGGTAGAAATCATAGCCTCCCTCTCTTAAATCTCACAAAAATAGCTCCACAGAAAACGAAACCTAACGAAAGACTTTTGAGCTATAGTATTACTCCTAAAGTAATCTCTCCCTCCTCTACGGTGGATCTAGATATGTGTACGGACAGCCATAAGTTGGAAATCAATCCCTCTTGTAAGCTGACAACATCCTCTTCTTGCCAAAACGTGACAACGCAAGTGGAATTCGGTAACAAAACATGCCGAGATACATCACATTTTGCGACGAATCCCCAACATATTCGGACTCCCAAGAATAATTCACGCTTTAAGGTGAATAATATTCAAAACTATGCTAGCGACCAAACTGAAAACAAGAATAAGAACATAGGGTCCAAGGACAATAACGACACAACCTACTCGCATACTGTGCCAAGTCACACCGGTAGCTGGTGTAGTGACGCTGTCACGGATACATTGTCGACGTAACAATCTGCAGCGACACCTTCATTTATATCAGCCACGCGTCGAAGATGCCAAAATGCGGTACTCCAACGATGGTTGCTGCATGCCAACGGTTCCTGTCTGCAATGGGACATACAATTCA